CCGGTAAGTTTAAACGTGGTCCCGCATCGTGGGACTACGGTCATCTCGTCGTGGGCGCGCACCCTTCGCATCGTGGGACAGTAAAGGTAGGTTCCTGATTGCTACGTGGGACTGGAGTTGAAGATACATCGATGGACGGCGATGGACTACGCGCAACGGTACGTTATTATAAACAATTTATTCTTCTCACATAAAAAGCATCTCACTGTTACAAAAGTTGCTTTTTTATATATATTATCTTTAAATTCTCTTTAAATAGTCTGGAAAAAAATATCCTTCATATATGGACATATCCTATATCTGATGATGTTTAATTAGATACAATCATATACGAGATCTTTTCAATCTCATACAAAATTATTATGTATACCTAGATATAGAATTTGAGCATATATAAAGGAAAAATAATAATTTAGAATGAAATAATCGATTATGTTTCATATCTCTCCCATGAAAAGTTTTGAGAAGAATAAATTATTCTGCATGAGTAGTAATCGCACTGATTTTTCACTATATCGTCACTCTCTACGTATAATCCCGTAACTCCAAAACGCAAAATTTAGAGGAGAGCAGTTTAAAAGTTTAAAGCTTCATATAGTTTTCCTAGTTAAGGGATCTTTCGGTTTTAAATTTTTACCTTACACTTAGGAATATTTTTTTTTAATATTTGGTGACCATAAAGAACATGACTTTCTAAGTGTTATTATGCAATAAACTGAAAATTCGATATGTGTCACTTATATAATTATACGTAGGGAGTGACGATATATTCTTTTTTGATGAAATTTCCATATATTTGTATATTGTGTGATTTAAAGCAATATTGTACTATTTCTTCTATATATGTGCTTTTTTTTATTTTTTTATATATATCTATATTTATCTATATTTTCTACATCTACTTTCATATTTCTATATCAATTTCTCTTAAAGAACCGATATAGAATTCTTTTTGGAGACTTATGTTCTTTTCTACTTCTATATCAATTTCTCTTAAAGTACTGATATAGAATCTTTTTTTAAGGACTTATATTCTTTATATCTTTTTTCTACATCCACTTTTTATATTTCTATATCAATTTCTCTTAAAGAACCGATATAGAATCTTTTTTTTGGAGACGTATGTTCTTTATATCTATTCTCTACATTTTTATTCTTTTCTATTTTATCTTTGCAAAAATATATATTTGTAATATATATATTGAAATATATATTTTTTCTATCTACTATAGAATAGTAATATATCTATCTCTTTTAAGTATACATGATGGGCTTTGAAGGATAGATATATTCTTTTTTCAATCATAAAATCTAAAACAAAACTCGGACGTGAAACTAAAATATATTTTAAATAATACTTTTTAATGTTTTAAACAACTGC